GTCGGATCACTGACTGGCGGACACTTTCAAATACTCCCACACTGTGTCAAATGGTTTTGTAGGCATCCATGACACAGAAGTGTCTCTGCATTATTAATGTCTACTGCATAAACCAATTGCTTTAGGTGACCCTACAGGTAAAAATCCAAAGGATTGAGTTCGGGGGGAATGTGCAGGCTATTAAACCAATTTAAACCTATTTATCCATCTTTCATGGTAGATGTCAGCAAGTGCATCGCAAACAATGTGACTAAAATGTGCTGGAGCACTATCATACATTAACCACACGAATCTTCGTATTAGCAGGGATACATCCTCTAGCAGGTCTGTGTGTTGGAAACAGTCCTTGTAGACAGCTCCTGTAAGACGTGATTGGATAACATATGGATCTACCAAACAGTCACTCACAATTCCAGCCCATACATTAATCGTAAACTGATGCTGGTGTCTCGCCTGTATCGTACTATGGAGATTCCAATCCGCCCTCAAATGTTGTATAAATTTGTTATTTCATCTCTTCCAAATGTTGCCTCATCCGTAAACAAGACTGAAGAGACAAACAACTAATCGGTAGCTTGTGCGACACACCATCGGCAAAAGTTCTCCTGTGGTGAGGGATCAAAGTCGAAATACTCTGCACATGTTGCAAATTAAACTTGAAGTACCCTCCATGCGGTACTAAGAGATATACAACATGCTAAGTCCACTCGACGTGTGCTCATACCTGGATTGTTCCCGACAGCCTCTAGAATATGTTCTTCGTGGTAAGGCGTATGAGCGGATCTCGGTCCTCCTCGATCCGGAGCTACGGATTTTGTCTCAAGAACCTGACGATAAACACCAGCAAAAGGTTAGATGACTCGGCTGCCTTCGGTCTGGAAACGCAATCTTATACAGAACTCGAGTCTTATCATTCGCACGGCTGTATTTTTTTTTTTTTTTTTAAAAAAAAAAAAAAAAAAAAAAAATTGCTCCCGATATGAATATCTTGTCATTGCAAAACGGAACACTTCTCAGTTAATTAACTACTGCATGCGTTAAACGTCGTAGACTAGACACAAATATACACGAATGACAAGTGTAACCTAGTCTACATGTCAACACAGTGCCATATACCGTAAACTTTAAACTTAACTGAAAACGAAGGATTTGCGGACATATGTTCATATGGAATTTTGTCCTTTTTTGGTGTGAGGAACCTGACCTCAAAGTTTGTAAAAGTATTTTTGATACACCGTATATATTTGTAAAGAAAGGGGATGGGTTTTTTTTATTTATTTAAAATTCCGACAGATTTTTAGTACTTAAAAGTTATTTTTTAGTGGAGACTCGTATTTAAGTTGACGCTCAGTTTATTAAACACTACATTTTATTTTCGTCTCGAATGTTCAAGGGTGGCATTCGAAAATAAATATAGTGTTTAATAAATAACCTGAGCATCTACTCAAATACGTGTTTCCACTAGAAATAAAGTTTAAGTACCTTTTTGATGTTTCCAAATATTTCCTTCTAGAATTTGTGCATTTAGAGTAATTTATGGTCCTTAGCTTTATAGTTAAAGTAAAATCTCTTTTCGTAAGAAGCCTTTAGATGACAATGGGTCCTCCGCAAGTAAAAGAAATATAACGGAATGGAACACATTGGAAATGTTTTGAACCAAATACAAGTGTCAACTGGAATATAACATACGCCAAGATTTTGATTCCAGGAACAAATTGATGATACTACGGAGAAAACTACAGAGAAAACTATTTCGAACTTAATAAACGTGTCACACTAAGTAAGGTGCGTGTGCTTTGTTAATTTCCGGGAATATACCGGGGAGGGGGAATTGAATTAAATAATGTAATTGTGCCAAAACTCATATTTTGTACATAAGAATAATTTGATATACCTACCAACTATAAATTAAAAAAAAAAAAAGGCGGGTTGTGTTAAGGTTATCGGCGCAGAAAATGAAATCTGCGAACCGTTTTCAAATTCCAACCTACTTTGATGCTTTCATACTCGCAGAAATGTCTTTGGGCAAGTCATGAAACCTGCTCTTCTTCCCCAGTTATGGGTTAAACATCGGGATTGACTTATCTCTCCAACCTTGCATAGTTGCTAGTTTAGAAGATTGGGTTTGGTTTTAAGGCATATCAACACCTCAATGGGTTATTTAATGCCGACAATTTTATTGTTGGTAATATTTTTTTTTTTCCAAAAATCAATTTCTGGTAATGTTTTTCCTTAAAAAAAAAAAAAAAAAAAAAAAAAAAATTCTATTTCTGCTAATTTTTTTTGTTCAAAATATATTTCTGGTATTAAAACCTATTTTTTTTTACACGTTTTTACCCAGTTTTTTTTGGGGGGGGGAGTTAACTATCTGGGGATAACAGGTGCTACCACCCTGGGGACACCAGCAATTAAAAGGTTGTTCAACGCTTCTCAAAATCTGATCAGAGACCTTGCTGTCAGATGTAGTCTATCGTCTTACCAGGACGCGCATGTAGTTTATAGTTATACCCAGGACGGAGTCTAGAAGGGAAACTGAATTTAATACCGTAGAGAAGATGACAGGAAACCGCTCTCTATTTCCCAAGAAATCATGGCAGATTTTTTTTTAATTTTTTAAAATCATTTCACCCTAAGCAAGGCAATAAAGCCACTGCAGGAGCGGGGGGGTGTCACTGAATGTGAAAGAAAAGAAAACGAGAGGAGATAACGATTATTGAATTTATAATTTTGAAGATCAAAGTTGACTGGAAAGCAAGAAGCCAGAAAAGAGTTCCACGATCGAAAAGTACAGGAAAAGAAACGGTTAGCGTAGAACTTACGATTACATCGAGCCATTTTATCTGTAAAATGATGAAACCTAACCGCCAATCAAGTGATGCGTTTAAAATCTAGGTACTATTGTGGAAAGTTCATCAGAACAGTTACCATTAAAGTGTTTATAGAAAATACATAAGTGCCAGAGAAAAGTGATAATAAGAACAAAAGTTGCAATATGAGCTCAGGTAAAAACATACAATGATAACAGCAAAAAATTGCAATATGAGCACTGATAAAAATGATTGCTGAAGACATTAGGTTTATAATACCCAGAAATTCATACACACATGTCCTCAAGGATACATGGCACAGTGGTTAGATCCAGTGACAGGACCCAAAGAGTATGAGTTCAATACCTAGTTAAGGCAGTGGAGAACTTTCAGAGGGAAATTAACAGGAGATAATTGATAACTGACATAATAAAAGGGTTAAGTTCGACATTCCAACCACCTGAAGAAGGCCGGAGCGTACAACGACCGAAACGTTGTAATAAATATGGCGACAAAGATTAGGACAATAGTCCGAATAATGTAAATAATGTACATAATACCTCTTCTCAGAAATATAGACAGATACAAAATACATAAGGATACTACATTTCGACTGAAGCCGAGATGCCAGTTCAAGGCCAATGACATTGCAGATTCTTTGGATTTTATCAAAGATCTCTAAATAAAGAAAAAAAAAATTGCAATCTTTAGAGAAGCCTGAAGAAGTAGGGATTTAAGAATAAATTATTGGGTCACCCTATAAAAAATAAAACGTAAAAAGCAAACAGAGAAATAATAGCCCCAAATCGATCATGAACCTAACTGCATCTAAACTAAACAATTTTTCAGAATTGCAAGATAGAAATATCGCACGAAAGTTTTATATAGAGGGGCGTGGTAATCGAACTGTTTAAGACGTCATACACGTCAGAACAGAGGATACAAACTGAAGTGTTGTTAAAATTTCCTCGTACTATTTTCCGCGGTCGGAAGGTTATTGATTTAGAAAGTTGTGATAAAGTAGAAGAAAGCGAAGAAAAAGACGAATCATCAAATTTGCAACGGAAAATCCAATCTCAGGTCTTTATTTTGCTTATTATTTTTCTTTTAATTGTTAAGAGACATATTTTCATTTATTTTATTGATTATACCTTTGATTTTTTTTTGTTTTTAATTCGTCCCACATTTGCAATATTCATTTAAGAACCATTTTTTACTTCTTTTTTCGCCTTTATTGTAATTTTTACTTTTCTCTTCTGAAGATTTTCTTTATTCGATTTTATTTTTAACGTGATCACCAATCGTTCTTTCCTTTTTATTCGTTTTCTTTCTTTTCATTATATACTTATATATTTTTCGCTCTTTTTTATCTTTTACATTCTGTTTTCGTTTGTTTTTTCTTTAAATTTCTTTTTTCCGTTTGGTTTTGCCATTGTGTCCGTCTTTCTTTCTTTCTTTCCATTCTTTCATTTTCTTTCTTGTTTTTCCTCACTTCTTTTCCACCATTTTTTCATTCATTTGTATTTCTCTCTTGCTGTATGGGATGTGCGGGTGGCGTAATGTCTAACGAGTGAGAAATCGGTAGAGAAAAGTTCGAATTCCAGTTGGGTCGTTACGTTCACCTACACGCAAATAACCTTGGGAAATGTATGACTCCATCTCTTCTCCATCAAAGCTATGGTTTGAATAACAGAACATACTGTGTCATTGTAGCCTTAGTTGGCAACCAGTCTGTCGCAGAAACAAACAGCAGTCTATTGCGGGAAAATCTGCCTAGTCTGTCATGAACCAAAAAAGATGATCGCTGAAGCGTGTATAGCAATTAATTGTCTGACTTTCGGCACTTCCCTTTCTTTTATCTCTCCTTTTTTATATTCTAATCTATTTCTTTCTCCCCCCCCCTCTTCCCTTCGTCATTTACTAAATCCCTTAGTTAACCTTATTTCCTACCCTCATTAGTAAGCAATGCCCATTATTCCCACGTTTCCTTTAAAAATTTTCTCCGTGAATACTTTTTGTCATTGTCTCTTACAAATACGATGCATCGGAATTCTTAAACCTTTTTCCGCCTTCTGCTCTTTCAGGTTTGCGTATTTGCTAAGAGAAAAAAAAAAAGGACTATGAACAGATATGCTCTGCGGAAGTTATACAAGGTGGGCGGGTGCAAAAGTCGGTATACAATATGTTTTGTCCTTAAGGATACCTAGCCCAGTCAAGAGAGAGAGAAAGCGAGAGGGAAAAAAAAGAGAGAGAGAAAAAAAAGAGAGAGAGAGGGAAAAAAAAAGAGGAAAAAAAAGAAAAGAGAGAGAGAAAAGAGAGAGAGAGAAAAAGAGAGAGAAAAGAGGGAAAAAAGAGAGAGAGGGAAAAAAGAGAGGAGAGAGAAGAGAGGGAAAGAGAAAGAAAGAGAGAGAGACAAAAGAGAGAGAGAGAAAAGAGAGAGAGAGAGAAAAGAGAGAGAGAGAGAGAGAAAAGAGAGAGAGAGAGAAAAGAGAGAGAAAGAGAGAGAGAGAAAGAGAGTGAGCGCAAATCCTAAGACAAATTAATAATAGTCTTCTGAATTAATTCTTAGCCATGAGAATCAAATCACGGAATAGTTGCATAAAAGAACTGAACGAAAAACTTGAGATTTTCTTTCGCCACTATATAGCCGAGTTGGGCACTTCGAGGCGGTATAATGGTTAGCAAGATGGTCTCACTAGAACAATTACGATTGAGTAATGAGTTCGATCTTTACTGGGTGCCCCATACTTTCGGCCTTGTGCCACATCTATGCTACGCTTGGAAAATCACTCTATAGCCGAGTTTATAATTTTAAGCGAGTGTAACATTGATTTAGTGTCTAACCGATTCATTTCACCCTTTTAAACTTATGTTAAAAAAGTTGATCTCCAAAATTGTTGGATTTGAGCAAAACCTTTTGATAAGACGTCTGTGGAGGTAAAAATTCCATGATACATTAAAGATATTTGTTAAATTTGGCCATAAATTTATTTTCAACGCCTTTTCCTGACAGCACACAAAACTACTGCTCACAAAGCGGTAGCAACAGTGGTGGAGTAGTTTGCGTGATTCTATGAACCACTGAGCTATGATGTTTCCCCACCTTCCTGGTAGGTTCAACCTAAACAGACAATTCAATGGACAGGAGCTAGACAAAGTTTAGTCACCTATAGAAGACAATCTCAAAGACAAAAATGCAGTGTTGGCAGCAGCTCACCAGTTACATAAAGAAGCAAAGATCAAGAGACCAATACATTGACTGAATATGCAGTGATCAATGGTGGTTGATCACTGTCATTGACTGAGGCAGGAAATGGCTTGTAAACTTTAATGCCTCCAAAATGAAACTGCACTCAGTTATCCACCATAGAGAACCATCCCCGTCGCCCATCGGAATGGCTGATGCTCAACTCCATGAGAGCGCCTCTCTGCGCCTGCTTGGCCTCACGCTGTCCCCTGACCTGAGGTGGAACAACTACATTGAATCATTAGCTTCATCTACTGCAAGGAAAATTGGTTCTCTGTGTCGCGCCCGAGTCCATTCTTCAAATCTATCATTCGTCCTTGCATTGAATACTGCTGCCATATATGGTCTGCTGCCCCCGCTGATCATCTTGAGGTCCTCGACAAAATCCAGAGACGGATATGCAATGTGATAGGTACTAATCTGGCATGTCGTCTACAGTCACTCTCTCACAGATGTGCTGTGGTTTCCTTCTTTTCTACAAATATTTTCATGGCAACTGCTCTGACGAGTTACTTTTACCGGTTCCCAAATTGCATAAATTTAAACGTGCTACTAGGTTGGCATTTCGGTCTCACCCTTTCACTGTCGAAACTGTTAAATACAGCCGTCTCTTTTACTCCAGCTTCTTATCTCGCACTTCCCGTCAGTGGAACTCCCTCCCTCTTGCTTGCTTCCCTGATAGCTATATTCTTAAAGAATTCAAATGTAATTTCGATTTACATCTGATGCCTCGATCCTGATCCTCGTCCTTCTATGTACTTTCCCCAAAACACCCTCTTTACTCCTGCTCTCACTTTCTGTAACCCCCTTGCGTGCTAGTGACACTCTCTCCTTGCCTGGGGTGATATGCTTAAAAATTGCTGCGGTTGTTAGCAGATGTAGTGATTACTAATAGTGAATCGTACTTGCAATGTAAGTGCGAAAACATTTGAGATAGAAATACAGACAGATACTGCATTTTTTTCTAAGATGAGGTATTGTAGCTATTCACACTTCGGACTGTTGTCCTCATCTTTGGTGTCATATTCACAACGTTTCGGCCATGGTACGCTCCAGTCTTCTTCAAGTGATATACGTTGGAATTTTCATCCGATTTATTTCGTCCACTGGGGCAGATTGTTCTATTTCCACGTGCTATGCCTTCTCTGGATATCTCAGTTTTCAGGTAATTCCCTTTTGTAACTCAACTCTCCAATTTTTTTGGCTCACACTGAACTAACAACTGTTTGCGTCAAGTCACTGGATTACTTCAACCAATTCTTTTACCCACAGTATTGGGGTGTAATGGATATCGACTCGGAGTGAGAACTGGGAGAGTAAAGTTCGAATTAAATCGGTTGCCACCAAAGACTATAAAACCCAGTCGAATTCGTTAAATTCACTTATTCACAAATACACTTGGGAAAAGCATGAATCCATCTCTTCCCAGCTATGGGTTTAATAGCAGGACAGACTGGATTCTTTAGCCTCGGTTTCCCCGCAGAAAGAATTGGCAACATACTGCGGGAAAAATCTGCATCATAAATTATGTATCGAAAGATATAGCATTTAATTGACTGATTACTAGAAAACAGTATCACTAAAAATAAAATTCTTTTTAAAATATCGATTGGCACGATTTTTTTTTTTTTTTTTACACTGAGGTTTACTCTGTAAAAGGCTCGGGAGAAACTTGAGGTAGAGGGTTACAGAGTAAGAGGCACAGTTTATGCGGATAGGCGGGGGAGATAATGGTTAACCCTAGGGATGAACAGGTTAAGATAGTAGTGATCGGGGAAACGTCCTCTTGGGAGTCGGTTCCGCAGAGCAGTGATTCTTGGGGAGAAGCTGCTAGAGTGGAACTTCTCACCAACGGAACACAGAGGGGTTGTTGCTACAATGTTAGTGACAAGGCGGGTCCTAGCCGTGAAGTTTATAAAACAAGGCTAAAACAAGGAATGAAGTTCGTCCGAGCACTTTCCATAGAAGTCGCAATGAGCAGCGAAAGGCTTTGCCAAATTCCATCTGGGATTGCAGGGTGGAAAATAATTCAACACCCACAAGGACACGCAGATGCTATTGGACTATCGAGATTGGAAATTAAGGACTGGGCATCTCCTGCCCGTATATAGGAGCAGTACCGATCTGGCTCTTGTAAAAGGTAGAGTACAGCAGGTGGAATCAAGTACTTACTGGAGTGGTACAGTGAACCTACTATTTTTCCCGCATCTTTAGCGATGGATCGTATGTACGTGTTCTACTTGATGCCTGGAGTGTGTTTAAGGCCCAGTAGTCGTTCAAAGACACGGAGCTTCCCCGTGGCGACATCAATTCATCGTAATTGGTGGTAGTTAGGAGTCCGATTGCCGAGAAGAGTAATGGAAAAAAACTGTCCAAATCATGATGGCAGCATTCCGTAAATCAGCATGTGATTCTATAGATAAACCGTAAATCCGAGAATGAAATGAAACGAGACCACGACGTTACTGAGGTCTCTAGACTTGCTACTATTTAGTCTCCAGCGATAAACACCAGGCATTTGGTAGGAAGATGCAAATTCATGAAGATAAAGAAAAATAATCACTAAACAAATGGAAGCGCTGATAAACAAAAAATAAAAATAGTGACAAACCCTCCTGTAATTAATGGTTAACATTCTTAGGCTGGGAGATAATTACAACTGAAAACTATATTCGTTCCTCTCTAGGTTAACCTTATGCCAAAGCTAAGCTGATTAAATCAATGTGAGAAGATCATCAGTACTAATAACTTTAAGGACACTACATGTACTGCCGTCCCAGTAGAATTGGTGTTTCTTGGGCAAGATAACCTGATGAAGCCCGGCGCTCTCCAGGCCGGTTTCGAATTCAAAGCTATCTTCTAAATCGGTTGCCACCAAAGACTATAAAACCCAGTCTAACCTGCTTTTTGTCCATATCGGAGGCTGGGGGTGGATTCATTTCTTTTCCAAGGGTATTAGCACGTAAGTGAATGTAATGGATCCGACTGGAATTCGAACTCGTATCTCCGATTCCTCAATACTAGCCGCCATCAACCGTGCCTCCATAAGGTTACTACGGTCAAATCCCAACTGAAAACAACGGTTCTTGTTCGAACCCGAATAGTACTTAGAGGATTGCTCGGGAACACCGGCCACTATAAGCAACCAACTAGAATTTGAAATTTGTTTCGGCTTTAGATAACTCACAAAAAGGTTGATATTATATAACTTATGTACAGCCAGAGGCAATGAACTAAGTTTTTGTTTCAACACCAAATTATAATTAATACGAGACGGGATACCCATTTATTAATGGGTTATTTTGTCCTTACGTTACTGGTTCCTGTTTATTCCTGCTGAACCTGTGTCTTGTTTTGCTACGTAAACCAGAGACTGAACAAACTAATACACAAAGCCACTGGTGGACATCACTCATGTTTTTATTTATTTATTCTTTTCTTTAGATTTAAAAACCTCCTTCAAAAAAGCAAAGTGATTTTGATATTTCGCTATCATGATGGATTTGGTACCGCTGGAGATTTTTTTTTTTGTTAAATTTTTTCGCCAAAGAAAGGCGTTAATGGAAAAAGAAGAAAAAAAAAGAAGAAAAAAAAAAAAGAAAAAAAAAGAAAAAAAGAAAAAAAAAAGAAAAAAGAAAAAAAAGAAAAAAAAAAAAAAAAAGAAAAAAAAGAAAAAAAAAAAGAAAAAAAAAAGAAAAAAAAAAAGAAAAAAAAAAAGAAGAAAAAAAAAGAAAAAAAAAAAAAAAAAAAAAGAAAAAAAAGAAAAAAAAAGAAAAAAAAAAAAAAAAAGAAAAAAAAAGAAAAAAAAAAGAAAAAAAAAAAAAAAGAAGAAAAAAAAGAAGAAAAAAAAAGAAGAAAAAAAAAGAAAAAAAAAAAAGAAGAAAAAAACTAAACTGAAACAAAGAAAAAAAAAACTGAATTATTTGGTGTAATTCAGTTGGTCATAATCGTGTTTCATCACAATCGAGTTTCGGTGCAGGGGGGTTTCGTCCTTGATAAATAAATATAAAAATCCCAGAACTAGCGTTTGCACTAATGTTATGTTGGTGCAAAACACCTGGCAAGTTTTTTTTTAACACGTTATCTGAAAACAAGTGTAACGACAGACACGTAGTTTGAGAAGACTGTGTACTGTTCATTTTTCAGTAAAGACAGCAAGGAAAACCCCTAGAATATTCCAATAAGCCTATTCCGTAGGAACGCGGTGTAGTTTACTTGCTAAAATACAACAAGCAAAATGTAATTTTTTTCACTGAATTCATGTCTTGCTTAGCCAGAAGATAACGTAGGTAGAGGTGCATATATACATACATACACACATATATATGTGGTGCAGTTCAATTTATATTACAATGAATCATTCACAGAAAAAGTAGATTAGTAAGTTAATGATATAAAATAGCGAAATCCATTCGCTAACAACATTTTAAAGGTGCATTGACTTACAAATCACTCGATGAATGTTATTGACCGAGATATTATATAATATTAGCTGCTATTTACCCATAGCTGGAAATTATATATATCCAGCTATGGGTAAATGGCCGGACAGACTGGGTTCTATAGCCTTGGATAGCAACTGGTCTAGGAGAATGTAACTCTGAATGCAAAACCTGTGGAGGGGCGTGTGGCCTTTGACTATTCAAAAAGTGTGGATTGTTCAGCACAAAACCTTCACCAATATAATCAAATCTCTTGTGCTGATGTCGGGCTATTGGTTTCCTAGGAACTGAACTGTTTGCCCCTCATACGTCGAATTTGACGGGGGAGTCGGGTATATATATATATATATATAATAAAATGAAAACGGATACTTTAGAAAACCATTTCTAAAGTATCCGTTTTCATCATCATTATTTGCTCTTCTTACATTGGATATATAACCTCTGGAATCATCCATACTAATTATAAAACATATATAAATCGATTCTCCCGTCGGGCTCGACGTATTCGTCAAGCAGATCAGTTTCCAGAAAACCGACAGCCCGACAAGAGCACATGAGATTCGATTATAGTGGTGAAGGCCTCGTGCAGGACCATCCACTTTTTGAAGGGCCGAATACAGAGACCTGGTGCACTACGTGCCACAAGGTCCCCAAACGACCCTCCGCAGGTTTTGAATTCAGAGTGTCCTTCTCCTAGACCAGTTGCCATCATCCAAGGTTATAGAACCCAGTTTGTCCTGCTATTTTACCCATGAAGAGGATTCATACCAAGGGTATTAGCATAGCACGTAAGTGAATGTAATGGATTCAACCTGGATTCGAACTCGGCTCTGCGATTCCTTAATCCATTACTCCACCGTGCCTCTCTCATATATATATATATATATATATATATATATGAGGTATATAATTGAGGCACGGCGGACTAATGGGGGGGGGCGAGTTTCAATTCCAATAGAGTTCATTACATTCACTTATGTACTACTACCCTTGGGAAAAGTATGAATCCATCTCGGCTATGAGTAAATAGCAAGGCAGACTGGATTCTCTAGCCATGAAAGCCGGTCAAGGAGACGGAAAACTAAATTCAAAACTTCCAACTATGAGTAAATAATAGCTCAGTCTAGACTGTAGCGATGGTTAAAGGGCAACTCTGAATTCAAATCAGGAGCCGGAGTCCCTAAGACAATTTGATCTTAAGTTGAATTTTGTACTGACAACTCCTGCGACGCCGGTGCCAGACTGTATTGACCTCTGTGGCGTGGAGAAGGGGAGACGTGCTTTAAAAAAACAAAACAAAAAAAAACAGCCCAGACCTGCGACCAGATCCATGGTCTGCCTTACCAGGTATTCTAAAAGTGCTCCCTGAACATCTATATAACTAAAACTCTTGGGGCGCACATTAAATTAAGGAAACTTAACCGTGAAAGGTCATTAAAATCTTGACCTGTTATCCCCTATAGTAGGCATAAAAAGAAAATCACCTGTAATGATTGTCGTTTTTGATTTAACATTCTCAAAGAAGAGAAGTGGTACAGATTTTCATTTAAAAAAGGTATTTATGAAGAATGTTATTTTTTAATGAGAGGCGGATAATGACAAATGTAAATCCCATTGAGAAAAGCAAAAAAGAAATGATTGTCGACTTCTTAAAGAATAAGAAATTAAGACTTCTGTTTAACATACCAAATGACAAAGATTTGACTTGGAGACCATGTTCTTAATGTCTCTCTAGCATTTTTTTTTTAAATGAAGAATATTTTAAATATAAGAACAATTCATAAATTACTCTTTTGTTAACTTGGGGTGCACCGGTTGAGAAACGTAGATAGATAGCAAGGAAGGAAGGAAGGCAGGCAGATAGATAGATAAATAGGCAGGCAGGGCAGATAGATATTTGGATGAGAATTCGACAAATATTAAATATAAGAATTTTAAAAGTTTATACGCGCCAACCATTGTAATCTGAAAAAGAATTTTATTTCACCTGAATAGATTTTTTATTCTTGCATTTTTATAAAATTCAATTGTTTTTTATGATACCGGGCCATCGGCTAAATATATCAAATTTCTAAGTTACATATGTGTGTGCATTTTTCTATGTAACCAGAGTCTATACAATTTGTCGTGAAATCTGGTGTTATGGTAATACCACAAGATGTTAATTTTGTACAATGTTTGAATAACTCAAATTGTAATTGGCACTGTCGGTGAATAGATTTATTGTAGGATATGTTTAAACAGTTTATTTAAAAAAATACTTTTGTTTACTTTTATATTATATATATAATTATATATATATATATATATATATATATATATATATATATAAAAAGAAATAGTTTTCCATAGAATTGGACCTCAAAAAACGGAGTTTCAAAAGGACGGTGTTTTCATTGAAATTGCTATTTTTTTAACTACCTTCACTCCTCGCCAATGTTTATTCTTTTAAACAGCGATGATTATAATTGTAATGAAACCTAAAACACATGAAAGGGAATTTATACATTTCCTTTCTTCGGGACAATTAGCAACAAAAATAATCAACACTATTGTTTATTGGAATAGTTAGCAAAACATCTTTTAATTGTCAAACTTTATAAAATGGTAAATAAAGATTTACTTATAGTTAGTTCCATTATTTTAATAATTTAGTAAACGTTTATAAATAAAAAAAAATCCATATTTATTTCTTTATAAATAGATAAATGATAAATATTGCATTAGTTTTAATGGTATTAGCTTTTTTTAATGCAGTAAATATAAAATTATTCCGGTAAATAAGTAGGTTTTAATAGTTTTTTGTAATTTCTCAAGAACAAAGAAAAATGCATAAATTATGTTTCATGACATACTTAGATTTTATTACAATTTTAATCATCGTTTTTTAAAAACAGACATTGCCGAGGAGTGGAGGTAGTTTAAATAATAGCGGTGTCAACGGAAAAAAGGTCCTTTTGGTACACCGTTTCTTTCGGGCATGAAACGTCCAAGAATGTCTAGTTTTCTTTACTTAATTTGACTTTTATCTTAATATTGATATTAACAAAATATTAAACAGAATCAAGAAAATACAGAACAAAAATTTTTGCTATTTTATAAGTATAACAATTGTGGAGAAACTACATTATACAGTCACCAAATATCTATCAGATAAACTAGTTTTTCCTTTCAGAGTCGCTTCAGTTTTGTTCTTGCTATCTTTTTTCTACGTCGTCGGCTGTTGATAAGTCTTGTACCTAGTTATCACCAGGTTAGTTTGCGTTTCTTTTCCTCCCATTGACGGTGACTGAAACCGCTAATAAGGGCCACCGAGAGAGATCCATGTTATATAAACTTAATTTAGACATATGCTTAACTCAGCGCTTTCAGCGTGTCGATTTCTATATAATCAATTGTGAGACTCAATAGGTTTCTGCTCTGTCGAATCGAGAGCAACCTATTCCCGTTGATGAAATGAAAAGTTCATTTCGTGATTCTAAAAGCAGCGCGGATCGATAGACACCTTTCTAGGTTATATAAAACCGAAACATTTTGCATAATAAGAATTTTTTTAATATTTCTTTTAATCGTTGTATTACTATTAGACAATTTTATTTTTAATTTTAAAACAAATCATTTTATCTGTTTCCAGCGGCGGGCTTAGATCAATTTGACTTATTTCTTGAATTAAAATACTTAGAAATTGAAATAAAAATATTTAGGCTTTTGATTCAAAGTACTTATTTAAGAAATCTTTTTTGCAATAATAATCTTTGTAATTCTAATCGTTTCAGGATATTTGGAGGCCACTGAATATTTTTTTTTTTTTTTTTACAGCGGTTTCAATGTAATCATAAATGATGTATTAGCAATTTATTGAGAATAACAATTTTTCTAGATACAAGTCCTAGGAAGAGATACGGAGAGAGAGAGAGAGAGAGAGATACGAGATAGAGAGAGAGAGAGAATAGAGGAGAGAGAGAGAGAGAGAGAGAGAGAGAGAGAGAGAGAGAGAGAGAGAGAGATACGAGAGAGAGAGAGAGAGAGATACGGAGAGAGAGAGAGAGACATGGAGAGAGAGAGAGATAGAGAGAGAGAGAGAGAGAGAGAGAGAGAGAGAGAGAGAGAGAGAGAGAGAGAGAGAGAGAGAGAGAGAGAGATATGGAGAGAGAGAGAGAGAGAGAGAGAGAGATAGAAGAGAGAGAGAGAGAGAGAGAGAGAGAGAGAGAGAGAGAGAGAGAGAGAGAGAGAGAGAAGAGAGAGAGAGAGAGAGAGACGAAGAGAGAGAGAGAGAGAGAGGGAAGAGAGAGAGAGAGAGAGAGACATGAAGAGAGAGAGAGAGAGAGATGAAGAGAGAGAGAGAGAGAGAGATAAGAAGAGAGAGAGAGAGAGAGAGAGAAGAGAGAGAGAGAGAGAGATACAGAAGAGAGAGATACGAGAGAGAGATACGAAGAGAGAGAGATAGAGAAGAGAGAGAGAGAGACATGAAGAGAGAGATACGAAGAGAGAGAGAGATACGAAGAGAGAGAGAGATACGAAGAGAGAGGAAGAAGAGAGAGAGAAGGAGGAGAGAATGGAGAGGAGAGATACGAAGAGAGCCTTGGGGAGAGAGAGATCCTTGAAGAAGAACGAAGAGGTACGAAGAGACAGATTCGGAAGATTCTCTAGACAAAATAGATAGAGAGAGAGAGAAGAGATGAGAGGGAGAGGTAATGAAACACTTCTGTGCATCTTGTTCAGGAGGAAGAGATGCAGAACTTTTCAGAAGAAGAGATGGCGGAGGAGAGAGAGGGGAGATGCAGAGAGAGAGAGAAGTTGTGAAAGAAGATAACGAAGAATGCAGAGAGAGAGAGAGAGGAAGAAACTGCAGAGAGAGAAGAGGAAATAATTAAATAAAAAATAAATAAATAAAACGATAATGGAGTATTTACATTAGTCGGAAGAATTGTCCTCATCTTTATCGACAAAATAGATATAGCAGGAATGAGAGGGTCGGGTAATGAAACACTTCTGTGCATCTTGTTCAGGATTTTGTGTAGAACTTTTCAGAAGAATGTGGCGGAGGCGGGGGGGGGGGGGCTGCAGCGCGACCGAGAAGTTGTGAAACAAGATAACGAAATGAATACAAACTGTTACGAAGAAAGAAATAATTAAATAAAAAAATAAATAAATAAAACGATAGTATTTACAAATGGACTATTGTCCTCATCTTTGTCGCCATATTGTCACAACGTTTCCTGTTCACGCTTCCTTCTTCAGGCAGTTGGAATTTCAGAGGGAAATTTCGAGCAGGAGATAACTGATAATTGACATCCATGTTTGATGGATGGAAGTTATCAGTCTACCCCAGCGATTTTCCCTAAAGGGTTCAGTTAACCGAAATTCCAACCATTCTGAGCGTACAACGGCCGAAACGGTGACAAATATGGCGACAAAGATGAGGACAATAGTCCGACTAATGTAAATACTGTACATAATACCTCATCTCAGAAATATAGACAAACTCTGAAATAAAACGATTTATTAACATCTACAGTCGTCGGTAATTAAGTGACCAATACTGGTAGATATGAACGCAAAACCTGCGTATTTGCGCGGTTCTATAGTCATGTTCAGGACTGGGTTGTGTCATCTTCACGGGCGGTACCTCTCCTAAGAGGGAGAGAGAATTAAAGTTAATCCCTGGACTTTGAGAGCAAAAGTGCTGAGGGGGTATGAGAAATATTTGTTGGTAGTTTCATGTACTCATGAGAATCCAATTTAAACCCAGCCTTGTGCCATATTCAGTTCCATTATTTAACAAACCGTATTTATATGTCAGTTTTATGTCATAAAGTTTGTTTTTTTTTTAAAAAAAGCTAACTTTACATACATTTAATTGTTAGGCTTTCGAACGAGCACAAAAATTTAGGGATTTATATATTTGATTAAAAATAGGAACACATTCTTTCGGTCGTTACCAGTCGTTACGTGCAGGCGTAAATTCTCCTGCTGTTAATGCGATTAAGTAAAACAACAACAAAACGCAGCTCGGCATGGTGTAATGGTTAATGAGATACTTTGGTTGATCCTTATTATTGAGTGGTGATTTCGATCTGTAGTAGATGCTCCATACGCGTGGCCTTGTGTCAAAGGAAGCTAAGGCTTAGTCAACAATTCCCGTAGTAATTGTAAAAACATTTGGTATCACTCAAAATAGAGCCGAGAGTACACAGTATTAAAAAAAAAAAAAAATGACGGGTTTTTTTCACGGGGAGGCTTGTCTATAAATATCCCCTTTGTTTCGCCTGCATACGTAATCAAGATGACTGACATTGACGCGCTGGGTGGGTTTGGCGGTCCCACAATTCCTTTCGCTCAGTTGCACAAATCATTCAATAGAAGGCATTGTGTAGTTAAAACGAGGCCGAATTCTTAAGTCGCTTCCGTGCTTATCGTCCCTGACCTAACTATTGCTACTGCAGAACAGTGAGAAAGAAAAGATACCAGAAAATTGAATATCTCCGGGAAAAAAACAGCAACAAAACAATAGACAGAGAAAAGCGACAGGAATTCAAGACAAAAAAAACCCCACAAGTGATGCAGTTATAATGATATATGCTCCGACTATAATTATCCGATTGTTTCGGCCTGTCGTCTACGGACTTTATTTCAAATGCATGAGACATCTGATCCGAATCGGGATTTATAAAAAGGCCAACGTTTTCAATTGATGCTCATTTGTAGGTCATTTACACATCTGTTCAAATTGACGGATCTTAGCTTGTTTGGTCCAAGGCAGCAATATTAGAAATCGAACTTCCTGTTGCGTTTGAATTCCTTATTCTAATGCTACACAATAGACCGCATCGATGACAGACAATTTCCTTTTCTTATCTCACTTTATTATATAAGAGACAGGAGTTGTAGCGCCGGATCTAGGAAGAAGCTAGTTTGGGATGATCAGGTGAACCCACGTCAGCTCCCTGGCAAGAATT